CCACCGTACAAATCAACAATGGAAAATTAGACACCACTCTCTACAGAAAACCCACTGACTCATACAGTTACCTACATGCATCCAGCTCCCATCCAGAACACACCACACGATCCATCGTCTATAGCCAAGCCCTTCGATACAACCGCATCTGCTCTAACCCCACTGACAGAGACCAGAAGCTTCAGGATCTCTACCAAGCATTTATAAACCTCAACTACCCACCCGGAGAAATAAAAAAGCAAATTGAAAGAGCCAGACGAATACCTAGAAACCATCTACTTCAAGACAGACCCAAGAAAACCAACAATAGAACACCACTTGTCATCACCTACAACCCCCAACTTAAACCTGTCCAACACATTATCAATAAACTACAGCCTATATTGGAACAGGATACCATACTCAAAGAGGCTCTGGGAGACAGACCCATAGTCTCCTATAGACAACCACCTAACCTCAAGATGATTCTTACCAACCACCACAGGACATACCACACTAATACCAACCCTGGTACCTTCCCTTGCAACAAACCCCGTTGCCAGCTTTGTCCACATATTCATTCTGCTGATACCATTATTGGACCTAACCAAGTGAGTTATAAGATCAAGAACACATATTCCTGCGCATCCAGAAATATAATCTATGCTATCATGTGCCGAAAGTGTCCGTCTGCTATGTACATTGGACAAACATCTCAGACACTTCGCCAAAGGATTAATGCCCACAAAACAGATATCAGACAAGATCACAAAGAGAAAACAGTTTCTTGCCACTTTAACCAGAAAGGACACTCTCTAAATGACTTAGCCACCTGCATTCTGCTACAAAGACCTTTTACATCTGCACTTGAAAGGGAATCCTCTGAACTGTCATTCATGTTAAAATTCGACACTTACCACCAGGGACTTAACAAGTCTTTGAACTTTCTCACCCATTATCAAGACAGTTTCCCCAATTATCACCTGTAATACCATTAACTCACAAACATCCCACTCTCCCTACCTTTAATATCAGCAATTCACAGACACTTACCTTCCTTCCTCCCCCTTCCCACCCCCCCGCATCCTCCTTCTGTTCTGCAATGTGATTTGTCCTTTTCATATTTGTTCATTTTTTTTAATTGTATCCTTTGGTATATATGGTTGTGACTACTTTCTTCCACTATTTGATCTGAGGAAGTGGGTCTGGCCCACGAAAGCTCATCATTTAATAAACCATCTTGTTAGTCTTTAAAGTGCTACATTGTCCTCCATCAGTGGAGATATTTAAAAGCAGGTTGCATAAACAGCTATCAGAGATAGTCTAGATCAGGGGTTCCCAACCTGGGGTACGTGTACCCCAGGGGGTACGAGAAGCTTGTCAAGGGGGTACAGGGAATATTTGGTAAATAACTAGATTATCCTAATTGAAATATTCCAAAAGTATTAGTGTTAGTGAAAAAAGTTGTGGATTCTAGAATCTAGAATTTATTTCCTTTCCTATTGAATAGGGGGCACGGGAAGGTTTACTAAAAGTCAAGGGCATACGGGGACCAAAAAAGGTTGGGAACCCCTGCTCTAGATGGTACTGGGTCCTGCTGTGAGGGCAGGGGACTGGACTTGAGGACCTCTCGAGGTCCCTTCCAGTCCTAGTGTTCTAGGATTCTATGATCCTGTAAGTGCAGTTAGCAAACTCCCCTATCCCGGGAGACCGTCTTGGTTACAACAATCCTGTGACCCACTGAGATGAAGGAAGACCTCTCCTGTGGTCTATTCACTTGCCTAGGTTGCCTGTTACTGGGCTAGTGCATCCTGCTTCATTCCTCCAGTGTGACACAGGGCCAGGGAAGCCAGTCCCATCACTGCAGCTCTGATTTCCAAGGACATGGAGATGATACCATTGCTTCTCGTGGGAGGGGACTGTTGACCAGTGCGCCGATCCCTATCCTGCATGGACTTTTCCATAGTCAGTCAACCCCTGAGGCTTAGCCACTCATCTAATGTAAATGTCCTTTTGGCTGGACCAATCAGTAAATGACAATCTCCGTTGATATGGGCAGAATTGGGGTGGTCTCACCACATAACTTGTATGAATGAGAAAATGAATGTTTGGGCTTGGAAAAATCACCCCTTTAAAACTCAGATCCCACTGGGAGTGGGTGCACATGGCCCACTGGATTAGATGTCAGGGCACTTGTGTTCTACCCAGTGTAGAACTCTGGGTAAGTCCTGTGGAACTCTGGGTAAGTCCTGTTACCCTTCTGTTGAGATTGACAGCTTTTCAGGGTAGAGACCGTTCCCCCCACTGTGTTTGTATAGTGCCTAACACAATGGGGCCCTGATTTCAGGGTGGGCTTTTAGCTGCTAATGTCATATAAATAATAAAAACCCTGTAGGGTGTTTTTTGGGAGGGGGCCCTCAATAACCCGATCTTTATATTCATGAGTATGTATGCTGTAGATTTATGGTACCTCCTGTAGATTATATTTACTCTGTAGATACAGCTGGTGCTTTCCACAGAGTAAAAATGTGCTGAACAAACACAAAGTTTTTCTCCCCCAAGGAGTTTATAATCTAAGTCCAGAGGGGTTGTAACACAGCATGGAACAAACACAGGGAGGGTGTGGTCTTTAAAGCTGGAATGTTTCTGTGCTTTTTGGATTGTTTCCTTCTTGGACTCGATAGTATATACTGTGGGCCATTACACCTAAAATATCTATTCTAATGAATAAGGGAAATATGTGTGCACATTGGTGTACTGCAAACAGAACGCTATCAAGATGGTAGAAACACCTTCACCTTTGTAAAGAATAGACTAAATGGCATTCCAACTAAGGGACTGAGGTAATGACTTGGGTGCATGAACATTATATTGAGGTTTAGTATTGCAATGTACAAGATAACATCTTGTGGACTGAATCTGTTGTGTTTACAAACATCTTCCTAATACTTACACCTACCTGCTATGAGGCACTTTGCAGAAGGAGAGTGCAAAACACAAAGAAGGGCAGTAGCATTATCCCCAATTTGCAAATAGGAAAACCGAGGAGCAGAGAAAGGCCAAGATCCTCAAAGGTACCAATGCACCTCACTTCCACTAAATTCAATGGTTTACCGGACAATGGGGGCCAAAGCAGCATTTCACAAAGACCTGAGCTCTCCTGAAGTCCAGTCCACTGCTCTATGCATTAGGCAACACTGCCTTCCTAAGCCAATGTTTTTATTTGGTTCCTGTCCTGTGTATCTGCAAGCACAGCCTTTTGGCTTCAGTATACATCTGGGGCAGGTGCCCGTAGACTTCATGTTTTTTAAAAAGGGATCTTCTCTATGCCAGGTATATGGGGTGCTGCTTCCAGTCTCTGTCAGGCATTATGGGGGTTTCTCTGGCTCAGGAGTAGCTCCTGGCTGTCAAGACTCACAGAACAATTTTATTATTGCTGAGCCCTGCATATTTTTCTCTTACCACTGCACATTTTGACACACACTCTACAGTGCCATTTTGTTAGTGTTCTGCAGCAATCCAGTGCAGTGCAGGTTGGACTTTGGGATTTGTGCAGGGAAGTAAGATCCACACAGAACACAGAGGCCTTCCCTGCATTCATCTGCTTTCTCTCCCATTTACACCAGGGCTGGATCTGGCTGTAATCGTCTATGATGAAATCTGGATCCATTTCTTATTCTGAAGGACTGTAAATATTTAAAAGAAAAAAAGTCTCCATCTATGATGTTATAGAGTGGACAATAAAAACAGTTCCAACAGTAATAAGTGATGGTGCTTGACATGCACATACCATATTTAATTCCTAAGTGCTTTGCAAACAATAGGTCTGACCCAGCAACCAGCAGCCTTTCCTCCCATGATTATTCTCATTGACTAGAACAGGAATTACGGTTGTAGGGTCGACCACAAGTACCACTGACATGCAGCCACCTCTGGGGTGGAGGGCACGGCAGCAGCTAAGTTTCGCAAAACTCCGCATGTGGCGGCTGTGTTCCTTGGGAGGTGAGCACTTATGTGGCCACACAGGAGGGATTCAAATGCTGCCCAGCTGATTAGCAGATTGCACCTACCGCCAGCAGCATGTGATTCTGCTGGTGGTGTCCTTCTGCACATGCCACAGAACAAAATTTATTCCACCCATGGAAGGAAAAAAAAACCAGAAAGCACATTGGTGGGGAGGAGGAGTAACGTTGGCCAAGGCCCCTGGGGCAAACCCACCCTGATATTCCATAAAGATTCCCGCCAGCTAGTGGAGTTGTGGCGCTGGGTGTTTAAGCAGGTTGGATCTAATGGTCATGCCACAGACGCCTCATTGCTTCCACCCCATCCTTTGCACACAGAAATCCCGCCTCCCTGCCAGGAGGCGGGGGGCCTGCACCGACTGCAAAGCGCTCCCTACCCAGCCAGGCCGGGCGCAGCCCTCCAGCTCCTTCCGGGAAGGGGGTGCGCCCACCTGGAAACAGTTGCAATCAGACCCGCTGCAAGAGGCAACTAGACCAGAGGCATCTTCCCCCAGCTGGCTACACGCGTCCACCAAGCCTGCT